CATAAATATTATTTGATATAAGAGAATAAATTTAAATAAAGAAACACAGAATAAATAAAAAAAACACCTTATTCAAATCAGTTTTACCAACAATTAATACAGGAAAACATTGCCAGACTAATTTATATGTTGCATCAGCATTTATACGCGATGATATTGATGCAATATTGAGCAAACGTACTGATGATATAAATACACAAAATTTATTGCCGCCATCTCCTCTATATCTTCATCTACCTTTATATCTTCATCATCATCATATTCTTCTTTATCATAAATTATTTTTGTATGGTACAACAAAAGCTTTATTTTCATCAATTGAAATATTTCCATTGTCGTCACAGCATTATTCTAATTCACCTAGACTTATTTTATATGAACCATATTTCTTTTTTTTATAATGAATAAGATAATTGTTCAATTGTGTGTACGTTGGTGTCTTTATTGCTCTTGCTTCAAGTGCTCGAATAATTTGTTTGGGCTTTATAACACCATCATTATACAATTCTTCTATAACCTTTTTAACAGTTCCATCAATACCACGATCTTTGTGATCATGTTCAGCTTCAGTTTTGTAGCAACTTTGTCACTGTCTGTATGATATAGCAGACACATGCTGGCACTACATGGGGAACCACGACACTTCACTTTGTTGCATCGATAATAAAATTTTCTTCCATTTTCTGTATAATTTGTATCATGTTTTGACCACTGATTTTCAATTAATGCTTCTGCTTAAGTAGGTTTATCAAATGTAGCTTCTTTAACCCAAACTTTAGATTTTTTTCTTTTTTCATCTATATCATGGTTTTCTTTTATAATCTCTTCGTTAGATGTTTCGCTTCCATATTGGGCAACTTGTGTCATTTCCATCTGTTTTACTCGTTGACACTCAGCTGATTGTGAAAGAAAGGGTAGAAACAAAGAGTACATATAGATATGTGTTGTAGCTGTCAGCTGAACAACATAGTAGAAGGACAGAAAGAAAGAAAAAAAAAGTGAATCCTACTATCACACGCTTCGATGTTTATACTTACCCTTTTATTTAATTTACTGATCCTTAAATGTATTAAGAAATCTATTTATTTTAATAACTGGCCATTTAAATAGTTTACTGCTCATTCATTTAATTTATTGATCATTCACTTATTTTACTGACCATTCATTTATTTTACTGACCACTAAAATGATAGCCGAAAATTATTACTACACGAACAGATAATACAACTACTGATAAACAAAAGAATGATGAATTGACTTCAAAAATTTTTATTTAGCAGACTCCTCAGTCAGTTTTCTAGTTAGGTGCCACGTGAAAATTTCCGAGCAAAAGTCAATGACAGATTACATGTACGAACTTTTATGTACTTTAGAGATCTGCTTGCTATATCGGCACCGTTTCATCATCTATTATTCTGAAAACAGATTCCATGGGATCTTTGTATTTGACGAATCCGCAAGCTGGTGGCGAGAGTCCATAACCAAGTACACGTAATTCCACTAGACTCAACTGAAGTTTTTTGCATCGTGCAGATGGTACCATCAGGTATTCATTTTCAGCTTGACCATACAATTCCTTAGCCATGAATATACCTGCTGTTTCGCGCCACTCATCAAGAGTTGTATTAGATCCTCCAGCATGATATAAATTTCCAACAAAAATAGTTGCATCACGAAGCTCTAATTCGACGGGTACAGCTTCTTCTACCTGTGGTACCCGATCTTCGTCTTCCCATAAATGTGAACCAAGAATCACTATAGTCTCTCCATTATTCTTGTGAGTGCATGTCATGGCGATTAAGCAGCCTATAATCATTGGCCAATCACAAGATCGCGTATGAAAATC